CTTCAGCTCAGGTCATGATCTCAACGTTCATGGGTTTGAGCCCTGCATCAGGCTCTGTGCTGACAGCCAGCTCAGAGCCTGGAGCCTGTTTCAGATTGTGCGTCTCCCTCTCTCTGACCCTCCCCTGCTCACACGGTCTCTCTCTCTCAGAAATAAATAAAACATTAAAAAAAAAAAAAAAAAAGGTGAGAGAAGAGGAAGGAAGACAGATCATGCAAAATAAATAATAAAATCCAATCTTTTAAAAATCTAAGATCTTACCAAACAGAAAGGAGGAAAAGATATTTCAACAAGAGAGTGTTAAAGATGGAAAAGAGCCAGAAAGGGCTGTAAGCTTAAAAAAAAAAAAAAAAAAAAATCAATGAAAAAGTAGTGGTGTACATTGGCAAAGAGCAGTGTAGAGCTGAAGGAAGGGAGAGAATTTATGGTAGAGGAAGTTGGTGCGAAGTTTTCCTCTAAAGATGCCCAGCAGAACAAAGAAGGAATGAAGGCAAAAGCCACTGGGATAAGGTAGGGCTGGGACTGAAACAGCATAGGACAAAGCAGCAGGGCCCAAGTTAGTAAATTATTTTCTTTTTATAAAATTAACTGACCCAGATTCTGTTTGGGGCCAAAGGCAACTGCAGGATTTAAAGATCTTTAAAATAAACTATTAAGATCCTAATTCCTGGAATTGCCTTTGGCCCAAGATTTAAAAAAATTATAAAGATCTTGATAAAATTAGTGTCAGTTTCTGAGCCAAGCACCAGATACCATCGTAGGGTTGATTTTAGATATGAGATGAATAAGTGCTGTTGTGAATAAAACAGCTTTAGCTTTCTCTTTTTAACGACCACAGGCTAAACACAGAAACTCCATAGTTACATACACGTGCACTGAAGATAATAAATAAGTAACCTAATATATACATAAAACTGGGTCATTTGTCTTTGTATACTATATAGCCCAATGCCCCACTCTAAGGAATGTTTTTATCTGGTTTAGGATTTATAGGACAGTTTAAAGGGCTGCACAGAAAAAAGTTTAGGTTAAAAATAAAGACCCTGGGGTGCCTGGGTGACTCAGTCAGTTGGGTGCCTGACTTCGGCGCAGGCCATGATCTGACAGCTCGTGAGTTTGAGCCCTGCATCGAGCTCTGTGCTGACAGCTCAGAGCCTGGAGCCTGCTTCAGATTCTGTATCTCCCTCTCTCTCTGACCCTCCCCTGCTCTCACGCTCTCAGAAGTAAATAAAAAAATAACAATAATTTAAAAATAGAGACCATAAGATGAGGGAGGGGGAAACTAGAAGTGTTGTGCTGATACAAGACTGAGGCACTAGGAACAGAATTCACTCAAGTCACTGTGAGAAAAAGGGCACAAAAACACAACAATGTCAATGTCGCGATATTGCTATTGATATTAATAGCCGCTCTTTGGGTTTTAAATGAAATACTGAATCAGATTTCTCAACTTCACTATTTTAAAAAATCCAACATTTAATCATTTGATAAAGCCAGTTACACAATGTTAAATGACTATAAAAATCAGCATATCCATGCCTAATTCTTTGGTAAAGACGGAATGGCAGGCAGTAATGTTCAGACACAGATAACCTTTCCTTTAAGTCAGTCACTACTCTTCTTACTCAGAGGCTATCGATGCCACATTCAAGGCCAGATCTAGAGTCCTCATCCCAGCATTCAAAGCCTTTAATGACTTGGCCACAGGGTATCTACATAACCTTAAGTCCCGCCACCCCTTAAACCTACCTTCCACTGTCCGAGCACACAGGTCTCTTGTCAGACCTCAGGCCTGAGGTCTGGCCATTTCCACCTTCCTACCTGATGTGGAAGTCTCCTTCCATCTACAGGCTCTGGCTCGCCAAGGCCTACACTGGCGCTGCGGTCCTCCAGCGCCCCAGTGCACCGCGCTCTCGCTCCACGGCCCCGCACTCCTCCCCTCCCCGACAGCCTCACCCACTTGCTGTTTTGCCCAGGGTCCCTTTCCCTCCCCACACGAGCTCTCTGGGGCCTTCTTTCTGCTCCTAGATTCTCCCAAGGGAGGTTCCCTGCCTGCCTCCATTCAGTCACGGGTTCCGTACTCGGTGTCTATTAGGGGTTTTGCGCCTGGGGTGAAACCAGGACCGGGACCCCACAGGACCCCTTCCCCCTTAACTCTCTCCCCAGCGCTTCGGTAACCCTGCCGGGGTCCCCCCGCCCAGCCACCCGAACCTCCCCACGGTCCCTCCTATCCGGCGGCGGGCAGCGGGGGTCGGCGGTGACTCACCGGCGGCAGGCCGGGGGGCCGGAATGCGCTCACTTCCTCGCCTAGCGCACCTGCCTGGCACTGCTGGAGCGCCGCCCGGCCGGGCCTCCGGCGGATGTTTTTTCTGTCCCCGCGCGCGCACTGAGAGTGCGCGCCAATCGCCCCCTCCTGGCCGCGCCCCCCGCAACTGGCATTCCCGACGGCCGCGGCCCCAGAAACCAGAGTTGGGCCCTAACCACTGACCTCTCCTATACATAAGCATACACACAGCAACCACAAGCGTGGCCTCCAGGCCCATGCGGCTACAGAGTCGCACACAAGAGTGCGCGCACCAACAGGAATGCAAGTGGATTCAACCAATACCTCCCGACACGCCCCCCCGCCCCAAATTCTGGGAGAAGGATCCTGGCTCAGCCCCAGGCTTTCTTCCTAGAAGCCCCCTACTCCTGCCCATATGCCTACCTCATCCCCATTACAGGCAGCTCCCACTGCTGTCCCCAATACCTCACACACACCAATCCCTACTGGGCCCCTTTTACCTCCCAGCATCAGCACCATCTTCAAGATTCCTAGCTCCCCAGTCGTGTCTGCCCCCTACTGGGTCGGCTCCAGGTTGCAGGAGCAAAAGGCTTTCTGTGGCCCAGATTTCCAGGGGATCGGCATGGCCCCTTTCCCCAGAAAGGTAGCAGCAGAGCCACTGACCACTGACAAGATTTCTGGGCCCTTGTGCTTGCTAGGAAGGCCTTCTAATCCACCTGCTCCAGCCAAGAGAGCAGTCCAGGGTCATGCCCCCCACACGCCAGCCTACCTCAAGGCACCCTGCTTCAACCGGAAGTTTTCTTTTTTCTCTTGCTACTCTTCTGAAATAGGGTAACAGACCTGACTAGGGTGAACATGTGGTACATAGAGTTGGCATCTCCATCCGCTTAAGCCATCTACTTGGAAGAGGACAGATAGGGGGTCTGAGGTGGACAGATGAAGTTGTTTCTGAATAAAGAGGTGAGAGGCAGGGTGGCCCTCTAAAAACGTCAGCCAAAGGTAGTTATACCTGATCCACCGGGTGGCAGGGAATGGGACTCTTGCGGTAAAATGGACTGGAGACTTAGAAGGAAAAACAGAATGTCAAAGTGACATTCCCTCTGGACAGGAGAGGAAGAGCTAGAAAAGGGTCTCTGGAGCGCGGTACAGTGAAAGAGAGGGTCGTGAATCCTAAAGAGATGGCCAGCATTCGAGTGGTCACATAGGAGAACTTGAAAGTTCACAAGAGTGGGAGTGGGAAGAAACGGATCAAAATCCTAATGAGAAAAGCAGGGGTTCCGATGTTACCTGGAAGGAGGAGAAAATGACACCTCCTCCCCAGGGCAGAATTGAGGTATTGACTGACCTAGGCAAAGTGGGTTTGTCGGCAACACTTTTTCTAAACCAGAGGTGGTAAGGATGACATGGAGCATGAATGCACAAAGGGCAGAAGTCTGTGACCAGAGACAGCAGCCCCGGACAGAAGTCCTCAGCTGTGCAGAGCTGCTCGATGTCATTCAAACAAAGGAATGTCTACTCGTTTTATCTGAGCTTTAGCACCAACCGCAGCAGCTAATATTTTCTGAGGTTCATGTGCCAGAGACAGTGCTAAAAGCACTACATGCACCTTCTCGTTTAAGGCCTCACAACAACCCTATGAGTTAGTATTACTATCCCAATTTAAAGGTAAGGAAAAAGGCTTCGAGGGTTGAAGTAGCTTGCCCAAGGTCACACAGCTCTTAAGTGGAATCAGGATCTGAATTCAAGTAGTCTGACTCTATAACCTACAGTCTTACTCACCCATCTTGGGGTGTTTTAGAACCTACAGGAAACCCAAAGGAGGATGTCCCAGGATTCCTCAATTCTGGTTCTTAGAGGAAAGACAGGTGCCTCTGGGAAACTGGAGTGACTCTTACCATTAGAACATTTAGAGATGTTCCTCCTTAAAAGAACCATCCCCAGATATGGGAAGATCTTGCAACTGCTGTATGTTTGGGGGTACTGAGCAATGGATGACGCATCCCCAGTATGCCGGTGCACAAGAGACACCCACCTCCCCGTCTCGGAGGGGCGCCCATGTCTCTAGCACACTTCAGGGAGACTCTGCCCTAGGGTCTGAGAGAAACATTCTCCACTCCAGGTGCCTGTTCGCTCTCCCGGAGCCTCTGGCCGTCGCACCCTACTGCAGCTCCTGGGTTTGGCTGGAGCGCAGGATTAGCCATCCCCAGGAAATGCCTCCCTCCGGTCCAGGCAGGGATCCCAGCACACACACCCCCGGCGTGTATGTGTGTGTTGGGGGCGGGGTGGAATGCTTCCTTCTCTCCAGGTCAGGGAAGAGATGTGGGGACCACCTGGGGGCCCTCACCCCTCCCACCTCCTTGCTGGGGAAGTGCCCATTCCAGTGCCCCTTCCATGGCCACCTCCCTCCCCCTCGCTGTGCCGGCGCATGAATCAGCTCTCACAGCTTGTTAAAGCTAGACCTCTTGTTTTCATGCCCTCACCTCAGGAAACAGAGTTACAGCTTTTCCAGCTCTGCTCAGCAGGGGGCCAGGGTCCTCACTTTATAAACATCCCAAGCCTGTGAGAGCAGAGGGCAAGGAGATGGTGTGAGACAGGAGCCCAGGGGAGACAGACAGAAACTAAGACCCAAGGAGAAAAACAAAGAAAAGCCACAGAGACAAGACCAGAGTAGTCTGAACAGAGGCCAAGAAGGGATCGAGAGGGCTGTGCTGCAGGAATGACCCTAATGATGCTCTGGACTGGACAGGCGAAGGGAGTCCTGGGGAGCTGGGGGATCATCTGCTTGGTGATATCTCTGCTCCTCCAGCAGCCAGGAGTCCACAGCAAGTGCTACTTCCAAGCTCAAGGTAAAGCTGGGGGAGGCATTAGTAAAGGACGAGGGCAGAGGGAGCTGGGATGAGAAGGGGCTTAGAGATGATCTTCTATCGGAAAACCCAGACTCCCTCCAACTCGGAAATAGACTAAATACGGGGGTGATACGCACTTACTTTCTCCCACGGCAGACCACAAGCGATTCTGTCTGCCACCACCAACTCCCCCCACCCTAACATCTCCTGTTCTTCCCTAGCCCCCTGCCACTATGAAGGGAAATATTTTACCCTGGGTGAGTCTTGGCTTCGCAAGGACTGTTTCCATTGTACCTGTCTGCATCCCGTCGGTGTGGGCTGCTGTGACACGTGAGTGCCCACAGATGGCCAGGGAGAATGGCTTGAACGTGAGTGAGGGATGGCCAGGTTATAACCCGACTGTTGTGATGCGAGAATGAATAGAATAGAGGTATGAGGCTGGCCAAACCTGAAGGTACCAACAAGAGAGAAAGAAGGCTGCAAGCTACAAAGTGAGGGATGTAGGGGGCGGTCTGGAGGGAAAATATTTCTGCTATGAAATGAAAAAAATCCATATATGGCAGGCGAGAGCTTAGTCACGGGGACCAAGAGGGCACTGAAGACATGGGAGGAATGCTGGCAGAGAGGGAAAGTGGGGCAGGGATAAAGGGGCCTTCACCGTGCCGACTCCTTTCCCACGCTTTGCTTCCCCAGGTCTCAGCATCCCATCGACTTCCCCGCGGAGTGTGAGGTACGTCAGGAGGCAGGAACCTGTCAATTCTCCCTGGTGCAAAAATCTGACCCTCGGCTGCCCTGCAAAGGCGGAGGGCCCGACCCTGAATGGGGCTCAGCCAACACCCCTGCTCCTGGGGCTCCCGCTCCCCACTCCAGCTAAACTCAACCAATCACCCTTCTGCTAACTGCCCACTGCTGCTGCCACTTCCAGGGAAACCACTAGCAGCTGCCAATTTATTCTGAATAAATAAATTAATGCTACAGCTGAAAGACTGCCTCTCATTGTCCATGCCCCTGGACCCAGGTGGGGAAAACGGGCCCTACTATAGAGTCCAGGTGCCGAGTTCTCCATATCCTGAAGAAAGAGAGCGTCGCGGTGAGTCAGTTTCAGATGGTTATGGTGCTGGTGCTGGGCCCTGGGGCTGCATATGAGGCCAGGGTAGGGCTTGTGGGCAGCACCTTGATTGGGAGGTCCCAGCTGAAGGTGTCTACGGGCACTTGCTCAGGCCCTGTCCAGGTGACAGGCTCCGGCTGTTCCAAGGGAGGGAGGAGCACCAAACCTGGTTCTCGTGATGTTACAAATTCAAAATGCAATCGCCACTTCAGGGACACTGTGGGAAAAAAAGATAAAGGTGGGGAGGCATTAGAAGCCAGGAGTAAAAACCAATGCAGGATGTGGTTAGCGAATGAAAAACAAAAACAAAAACAAAAAACAACAGTATTCAGGAAGAAGGGAAGAGGGAAGAAATCACAGGGCTAGGATAGGGATTTCTCTAAAGAAATCTAGTGTTTACTAGAAACGTGTCAATCAAGGATACCAGGGTCAAGCATCTAACAATCTAAGTGTGGAACAGTCAAGACTTAGTAGATTAAAGTAAACACGCTGGGAATCAGAGACCAGTGCATCACAGGGTCTCAGCTGATAGGGGTAGTGAAGAACATCTGAAAGCTCTTAAGAATTTAGGAGTTAGTGCATCTAGGAAACAGGCTGAACGTCCAAGAAAGTGTTAAGGGTCAGAAGCTGGGTGTGGGTGTGTCCAGGGGTTTGCTAGGAACCAAGACCCACTACACTCTACCTAAATACAGCATTTTACTCGCTTCCCCCCTCCGATGACGGTCAGGGTCTCACCAATGGCTGTGCAGAAGCCTGGGGTGGAGCTGAGAGGGATGGGGAGGGAGAAGCTGGTTCTGGTTGTATGCAAGCAGGACTCCTGGTGCCGGGCATGGGTCACATGAGAGACAGAGGGGACACCCCCCGTCCTGCGGCGCCTCTGGTATTCAGGCTGTACACGCTCCTCAGTCTGTAAACTTACTGAAAACTGGGAGCAAGAAGAGAAAGTTGCTAGCAGGCACTGGGAAATGCAGACTCTAGGTGAGAGGCTTGAGTCCAACCTCAAGCTATTTTACCAAAGGACCCTGGGTGACCACACTATTCACTTCTACATACCACCCCTCTTTATGAGGCCCTTCCTCCTTCCTCCCTAGCCCTCCAGGCCCAGCACCCCAAAATTCCCTTTCCTTCTCACCTGCAAACAAGCTACAGTTCCTTCCCCTAAGTTTAAGGTCCCCACCACATCCTCGCCGAGTCTGTATACAGATTTGAAGATGCCAAATGTCCCAACTTTTCCTCGGCCATCACTGATATTGTATAGATCTGGGGAGAATGGGACACTATAAGCTTGGAGTCCACACTGGGGAGTACCTAGGGCTGGGAGCCAGAGGCCAAGGTGGGGTTTTTCTTTCTAATGTGGGATGAGATATCAGTGAATCCTCAGAAGTATATGGCAATTAAGAATATCTGTCTGACGCAGTAATACTATGGAGGGATGGGGGCGGGGGGACAATTGTGAAAGAATTCTCACGGAGGCTGCGGCAGGACGTGGCAGCCATGAGACGCTCCCCAGCCAGCTCGGCTAGCCACGAATCCTTCTTTCCACCTTCATCCTCCTCCAAGAATGGACTAGATGGGGCTACAGCCTCATCCTGGGGAAACCGCACATCTTGAAGGCCTACAGAGAGAACAGATGGAAAGATAGTGCCAGGAGGGAATAGACAGTAGAGGTTGGGGTTTTAGACTCCAACCCGTGAAGGCTAAAGGTAAGCGAGACACGCCCCAGGTACACATTTCAACCTATTCTCCAGAAACTCACCCCCCCCCCTGCCTTGCACCTTTACTAAGACCAGGAAGTTCCCCTCCAGCCCCCCTCACAGGCCCTCTACAGATCATTTCTGCTTTGGTGAGGGTCTTCCCCAGCCCTTCCCTCCAGGAATCCTTACTTACCTGTCAGCACAAGAACCCTCAGAGGGACCCTGAGTAAAGTGATGGGTGAGTTGACACGCTGGCAGCCAATGGTCAGTTTGTAGACATACTTGACTGACTGACCCCGAAAGGAGGGTGGTCCCTCTATGGGCAGCACTTCGCTGTAGGAGTCTAGTTGGGAAGTAGTAGTCAGGGCAGCCAGAGGCAGCCAGAGAAGTCCTCCCTCCAGGAGCCTTAGAAGGCAATCCAGGGGTGGGGAAGAGATAGGCACTCACATGATTTGGACTCTCCAGGATCTAGTCTCAGATCACAGAAAAGGATTTTTGGTGGGGTGGAAAGGATACACTGACCCCTCTCACCTAAAAGAGGTAAGAAAGACTGCAATTTAATGACCCATTGTCTAGTACTAGGTGAAACTAGCACAGCAAGTGGGGACAGCCCAAGTAAGCTAGTCTTGTTTTCTTGTTGTAAGATAGAAACGGTCTTATACCCCCAAAGCAACAATTACATTCCCCTACATCGCCAGTATGACAGAGACTATAAGGACCCACTAGAACAATTTAACAAATTCATTCTCAGGTGACAATGACTCCACCCCCTTCCAAAGGCAAATGCCCATCTCTAACCTCGGTGTGGTAGAAAGACAGTCTGGCTCTCAGGCTGGACCTCTGGCTGACTGGAGTCAGGGGGAGGTAGTGCTACCCGACTCTCGCTGGCATGGAACTGGCAGTGGATTTGGGCACTGGCCCAGGCCAGAGCCTCACTATGGGAGGAGGAAAAGAAGGCATGAGAGGGGAGTTCCTACCCTCACAAATGCTCTCCCAAACTCCCTAACCCCTGTCTGAGGAGACCAACACAGTGGCTGTCCTAGGAATCAAGGAATCCAGAACCTCAAGGAGAATCCATTAAAAATAAGTATCCTGTGGGTAAAAGTGGAAATGGGGGAGGAGGGAGGAAGGGAGCGTGGAGGGCTCTGTCAACCACACGTTGGGTTAAACGGCCCTTTCCTACAACAAGAGTGCAATGAGCTGGTGGTAGTGTAGCTTCAAGACAACCTGAGCTCTAGCTGAGCACTATAGAAACCAGGCTTCCTCTCAGAAGAACCACCTCCTTCAGTATCTGCATCCCCACCTGGATGCAGAAGTGGCCGTGGGGGGCAGGGGGTTGGTGACTGTCACCACACACTCGAGGGCCTCCCCTGCCAGAAACACAGGACCTCGGCTCAGCTCTGCTACCACTTCAATCATGGCAGCTCCGGAATCAGATCTAAAAGGAAACAAGGGGGGGGTCAGAGGTCAGTACCATGGCAGGGAGGCGCGTCTGCGGCGAACCTTGGGGCCAGACCAGAGAAGACCGGCGGTCACCAGCACGGTGTCTGAGGGAAGCGGCTGGATTTGGGGTGCGGGGAGGTGGAGGGCAAGTACAGGTGGCAGGTGACCCAGGAGAGGGAGGACGTCGCTCTGGGTTCCAGACCCCCGCCCCTCTTAGCACCGAGTTAGTCCCCCTACCTGCCGGAACCCCCAAACCGGCCTCCCCAACCTCCCTCCAGGTTCCAGATCCCAGCCCAAGGCCACGGCCGCCCGTCACCTCGTGCCCTTAGTCCGGGCACCTCGCACGGTCGAATACTGGGGGTCTCGGCACACCGAGGCCCTCACCTGCCCGCCCCTCCAGGACCGGGCCAAGTGCGTGGCGGCGTCCGCGACAGAGGCGGGACTTCCCTTCAGCCCCCCTTCTCCACCGAGCGCCTTCCGGCCGGAAACACCCAGCTGACCAGACCGGAAGGGGCTGGGGTTGTCCCGCCGCCTTGGGTCACCTTCCCACGGGCTGGCACCTGGGCGCAGACGCTGTCCCAGACACCAACCGGCGGGATCCGGCGCCCTACCCAGGGTGGGGGGGTGGGGGCCTGGCGCCACGGCCCAGAGACGGGGCTCACGCTGCTGCGAGCTCCCAGGCCGGTCCCGGGGGCGGTTCCTTGCGGGCTGGCCCCCGGGGCTCCTCCCCTTTCCGCGGGCTCAGTAGCCCTTTGGCTGGGCAAACTAATCACCGCGGCCCAATGACGACGAGACCCGATCATTCCCTTCCAGGACCCAGAGAGACGATCGAGGAGGAGCCCGAGGCGGCTTTATTGCTGTCGCCGCAAGCGTCGCTGCAGCAACAGCTCCTAGGCTCCACGGAGACACAAGCTCACCTCGGCTTTCCCCAGCGCCCGGCCCTCCGAGACGACACCTAACCACCATCGCCGCCCGCATCTGGACTTGCCTAGCGAGATACTTTGTACCCGAAGACTTGGGACCCGGGACCATCGAGGTCGCAGGGACCCAGGATCCTGAGAACATGGGAACCGGAGTCCCAGCCTCGGAGCAGACTAGCTGTGCCAAAGGGGATCCACAGGTTTATTACCCTAATAATGCTGGAGGCACTGAGGCTGGGCAGGTTACAGACTGCGAGAGCCCTGAAGACAATCGACCCCAAAGTGAGCCGGGCTGCAGCAATCCGGAGGACTCTGGGCAACTGATGGCTTCTTATGAAGGCAAAGCTAAGGGCTACCAAGTGCCTCCCTTTGGCTGGCGCATCTGCCTGGCTCATGAGTTTGCAGAGAAGAGGAAACCCTTCAATGCCAACAACATCTCCCTAAGCAACTTGATAAAGCATCTGGGCATGGGCTTGCGGTGAGTAGATCCCAGTACCTTAGATTTCACTTTATCCCAGCACGAGATTTCCAGCAGAGGTGAGAAAGGGTGAGAAAACAGGTGGGTGCCTTGTCCCAGTCGGGTGGCTCCCAACCCCAACATACTCTAAGCCTGTGGTTTTGGGGGAAGGTGAGACCGGGTCACATGTCTGTAACCCCCTTCCTCCCAGAAACTTGTCTTTCTAGTAGGAAAGAGCAGGAACATCTGGGCCTGCAGTCATCCTTTCCCATTTAGGCTCCATCTCACTCCTTTTCCAAAGACTTCACTTTGGCATTTGTTATACTTTGTAGCAAGGTGGGAAAGGACAGTCTCTCTGCTATGGTACTGACACAATGTTGTTTTATTCCGGAGGCGGGAGTTCTCAACACTGATTCCCCTGAGTAACTGGGGAATTCTCTCTCCCTTATTGAAAAGGCACACCACATTACAGTCCCCAACACCCATCAGTTTCTTTCAAGCTCCAGGGAGTGGGTGACAGCCTGCCTGCTCTCACCCTAAAGAGAGGGTGTGCTGTTTACTTTACTGAGATAGACAGTCCCTGATATAAAAAGCAAAGACCTCTGGCTAGAGAGGCACTGCCATAGTGTCCCCAGAGCTCTAAGTAATATAGTCTTCCAGAGTCTGCTCTGGTGCCCCTTCCCCCAAGGATTACAGACACCCCACGAGCTTATCCTGAGCTGTAGAACTCCTTTAGATCTTTACAGATCCCCACTGAGTTCAAAAGCTAGTGATGAGGAGCCAAGACCTATTAACAGAAACGGGTGGATATGAGGACAGAAAGCATCACCCTTAGGTCATTCTGAGTCAATCCACAAAGTAAACACAGCTGGGGATGGAGGAATAAAGGTTGGAGAACTCAGCCCTAACAGCCTCTAAAGTAGAGGCTTCCCCTTCAGTCAGTGCTGCAGGGCTGGGTTGGGAGCACATTTACCTCGCCCCGGCCCTAAGCTGCCTGGGTATCTGGCTCCTCTGCTGGTTCCCGTGGGTGGTCTGTAGTAGAGAACAGTCATCCCTCCAGGCTACTTCAGAAACTGTCTCAGCCCAAATTTGACCCCCAAAGCCTCTGGGTCAAAATAAGATGTGAGGGCTAGAGTACTGAGAGGAGCAAATGGGATGCATGTGGTAGGACACCGAGGTCAAGAACAGGTAGGCCTTGTAGCCCCTCAGCCCCTAAGTATGAGCTGAGTCAGAGGCCTGAAGCTGTGCTCAGCCCCCTGGACCTTGGCTCCACATGCCAGGATAGGGTGGAGATCATTGACATGGGGTTTTCGAAATGGGATGAGGTCCTGCATTGAGGAGAAAGCAGGGGTGAAACAAGGAACAATTGTGAATGATAAGTTTTAAATTGGGGCTGAAATTAGGGAGAAGGCCAAATGGGTCAGGAATGGCCAGCTGCTAAATGAAGGGAATGAGAGGTGAGCCCTAAGAGGAGGCCAGACTGGAGGTACACTGATCAGGAGTTCTCTTGGCCTCATTGTGCTAAGAACTCAGTTTTGATTGCTCTCCCTTCCAGCCTGAGTCCATTCATTCAATAAGTATTTACTGAGTGCTTGTTCTATGCCAGATTCTCTTTTGTTATACCTACCTTCAGATCTTGCATTTCTCCCTCACTGCCCTAATCCCTGCTGCACCCTCCCTCCGCTAGTTTCAAAGTCCAGTTTCCCCTAAGCGGGAGAGAAGACCTGCTTTTCCATCATCTCATCCTTTGTCTTCCCTCCTTACCTGCCCCCCCGCCACCCACGTACCCTCCCTATTCTCTAATCATATTTTTGCTCCTCTTCATGTTCATCTGTGTAGTGCCCCACTGTTTGTACATTCACTGGTAAATTCGGCAAATAATTTACTGACAGCAGACCATGTGCCCTGCCCTGTGCTTGAAGCTGTGGGTAATAATCAACTAGTCTTTGTCACTATCCCTTTCCCCAAGGAATTTAAAAGTATATCAGACTCATGTGAGGAACACTGAAAGAACAAGACAGCATCTGATTGGGAGTTCAGATAGTGTATGTGCAAGTAACGATAATACCTGACGGTATACCCTATGGCTTTCCTATCTATTATGATACTTGCTCTTTCAACTATTCCATGAAATAAGTAAGGCAGGAGGCACCCCCATCTGTAGATGAGGAAACTGAGGCTCAGTGGAGTTCTTTACCCAATTACATGGTTACCAGTGGTATGCTTGAACAATAAGTATAAAACGGCTGTCTAGGGAGGAGAATAGAATTGGGAGAGTCTGGTGGGACAAGGGTTGCTTAGTGATGACCCACTCTTGAGTGGGAATCTGTAGGATTTAAGATTAGAAGAGAGGCTGAAACCCGATATCAGAGCCTTTAATCCCAAACGGAACTATTTGCTTATTGGATACAGAGCTATGACAAGACCAGGAAAAGGTAGGGATTTTTAGGCTTTACTAGGTTACTATGAGAGAGCAAACTCAGAAAGCTTACCATTTAAATGCTAAACTTTTGAAAAAGACTTAAAAGGATATGCCCCAAAGTGTAAACACTGGTGGTCTATGGGGGGGATTTTTTCCTCTTCCATTTAGTATATTCTACAAATTTTCATCTTTCACAATCAGGAAGAAAAATAATCACTTTAAAAAGAAGAAAGTGTGGGGCAGGGTTGTGGGATCCAGCCCCACGTTGGGCTCTGTGCTGAGTATAGAGCCTGCCTCGGATTCTCTCTGCCCCTCCCTCTCTACCTTCTAAAAGAAAAAAAAGGAAGAAGAAGAAGAAGAAGAAAGTTATCCCAGCAGACTGTTCCCATTGGGGGTGAGGGGTGTGGTTGGGGAAATAAAACTAGTCCTCTCAGCACCTCAAGCAAAGCTCCTGGGCTAAACCCAAGCTGGCGTAGTGGAGTTAGAGGTGATGCATGGTCAGAAAGCCCCTGAGGAGACTAAAGAGGAGAAACAAAGATAGTCCCATGCTTGTGAGCTGGGGTGACAAGGAAGAGGAGGGGACCTTGAACTGTAGAGAAGTGGAAAGGAGGAGAGATTTGGAAGTGAAGGGAATGGGTCCTTAGTGGACATGTAACCGGAAGTTACAACTAGGTGTCCAGAGAGAGGCAGCCCAGGAGGTACCTACCGCCCACTGCCCCTTCCACTCACATTGCCTCTTGCTCCTCAGGTACCTGCAGTGGTGGTACCGGAAGACCCAGGTGGAGAAGAAGACACCTTTCATTGACCTCATCAACTGTGTACCCTTGAGACAGATCTATGGTGAGTCTACCCCAGCTCTGCTCTGCACAGAGAGGGCCCAGCCTCTGCAAGAGGCTTCCAGCTTATGCAAGTTGCACTACCCTTTTCCGTTTTTTTCCCTCCAGCTTTATTGAGCTATACTTGACACAAAACACAGTGTAAGTTTAAAGTATATAATGTATTGATCTGCTATCCCCATGGTTTTTAGAAGAACTCATCTTTATAGTCTAGAAAGTGAGGAATGGGCTTCTTTTCCTCTTCCCATGTCCCACTAACAATCCTGATTCTATCTCTAGGTTGTCCTTTGGGTGGCATCGGGGGAGGCACTATCACCCGAGGTTGGAGAGGCCAGTTTTGTCGTTGGCAGCTTAATCCTGGAATGTACCAGCACCAGACAGTCATCGCTGACCAAGTAAGAACCAGGAGGTGAAGGAGAGTCCAGGATAGTACCCCAGACCAGGAAAGCCCTCTTGGCCAGCATAGGATGCGGAAGTCAGTTGTGTACCTGTGCCCATGATTCAGTCCAATAAAGTATTTTCACGATGCTTCCCATGTGCCCACCCTTGTGCTCGGATATACTAGGAATGACATACTCCCAGAGCACATGTTTCTTAAAAGAGTAAACAGCCCCAGCACCCTCATGCCCTCTATTTCTCTAGTAAATGCCTCCTACCTACTTTGCTGCCCCCCACTAGCTCAGCTAGTCCCCAGCAGAGAATTTCCAAATCCCTTAACCTGGTTAAAAGAACATTCAGTAGGACCGGAAGGGGAAACAAACCCAAAAGACTATAAATGCATGGGGGAAAAGACGTGTAGAGTGCCCACTGTTCACCCTGCTTTGCTAGCCTTCAGCTAGAGGTCAACTCCTCCTCTGGTGGCCTCCCTGGCTGAGGGCCTGGGTAGCCCTCCTCTCCCAGGCATAGATCTCCCTTCTTCCCTTTTCTGAAGCTTCACTTCTTTTCTCTCGGTTCCTTCATCACATCTGGGCCCTCCGTTGCCAGAGGCATGTGGTC